TTAACCACAATACCGGGCGGAAGTCATTAACATAACCCTGCGCAACAGGTTATCGGCCCAGGACAGCCCGCAGAGAGTACTTGTGCGTTATTTACGAGAGAGATCACAATCAAAATGTCGACTCACGAAGATCTGCGTGTTCCCGTCTTGACGAAAGCATCGTATCAACGCTGGAAGTTTGAGGTTACTGCTTGTCTCAAGAGCGTCGGCGTCTACGAGGTCGTGCATGGCAGCGAGGTATATCCGACGGACGGAAGACCGGAAGAAATAAAAGAATGGCAAAAGAAGGATGCAAAGGCAATGCGTATTCTGTCAGGCGGCTTAAGTGATGATGATCATTCGGCAATACGAGAATGCAACACCTCGAAAGCGATGTTTATAAAAATAAAATCACTTTACGAGACGAAGACTGAAGCAAATAAATATCTGCTGAATCAGGCATTGCACGCCATGAAATTCAAAGAAGGACAGTCCGTCCAGAGTTACTGTTCCGAGTTAGCAGTCATCGTGCAACAACTTGAAGCCATCGGCGAGAAGATAACTGACGCAACATTGGTAGCGAAGTTAATCAATGATTTACCTACAAAATTCGACACATTCCGTGAGACGTATTACATACAAGCAACAGGTGACAAAACGATAAAATTTGATGACATCCGTCAACAGCTTGTACTGATTGAATCACGAAGAGATGAAACCTGCAGCAAATCAGACAGCGGTGATGCACTTATCACAAAATCACAAACGTCAAGTAAAGATAAAAAAACCGAACGTTGATAAGAAGCCACGAAGCAAAGCTGAATGCTTTGAATGTCACAAGCCTGGTCATTTTCGGAAAGATTGTCGCAAATACAAAGCCAGAATTGCAAAAGAGCAGTCACAAGGTAAATCGACCGAAGCAAATCAAACGTACAGCAAGTCACTAATGCTCGCATGTCGGTCGGTATACAGAGCAGTCAACAGTCAAGACTCATGGATAGGTGACAGTGGTGCCTCGAATCATATGACGTACCGAAGAGATATATTCACATCATTTGAAGAGATCAACGACGGCTCATATCCAATCACAGTAGGCAACAATGAAGTCATTTATGCTAAAGGCAAAGGAATGGTTGATGTTAAATCGTTATCAGGAGGCGATGTTACGCTAACAAATGTATTATACGTGCCGAAACTTGGTCGTAATTTGCTTTCACTTGGTGCAGCAACGAAGATGCAAGTCAACGTGAAGTTTGGTGAAGATGTGATCGAGATGTCGAAGGATGGTCGACGACTGGCAACAGGACATCGTTTACCAAACAATCTTTACGAGATGGACTTTATTCAAGTCGGCAGTGCAGCTAATATTAGCGTTCAAGAGGCTTCGCTTCAGGTATGGCATGAACGGTTAGGCCACGTAAACTATGGTTCAGTTCGTCAACTTGCAAGCAGTTCAGCGGTTGAAGGTATGAAATTAGCGAAATGCTCAACCAGTGGGAGCGATAATTGTTTCTGCGAAGCATGTGTTTATGCAAAACATTGTAGACAGCCATTTAATGAAAGTAGTACTCGAGCCACTAATCCAGGTGAGCTGATACACTATGATATATGCGGACCAATGTCGACTGAGTCGTATGGTGGTGCAAAATTAATGGCGGTATTCGTAGATGACTATTCTGGTTTTCTGTTTGTCAAACCACTGGCAGCTAAGTCGCAAATACTTGAAGCCATACAGGAGGTAATTGCTGAGGTAAAGGCAACCGGTAACGAGGTAAGACGTACACGTTCAGACAATGCACCTGAATTTCAAAGCGCTGAAATGCGTAAACTAATGAGAAAACACTCAATTGTACAAGAGTTTTCAGCACCAGGCGCTCCACAGATGAATGGACGTGTTGAACGCCAGAATCGCACGATAGTCGAAATGGCTAGAGCGATGCTTACAGGTGCAGACTTACCACGTGGACTATGGGCAGAAGCGGTAACGACAGCAGCGAAGATTCGTAATTGCATTCCGTTGAAGCGATTAAACAACAAGACTCCACAAGAAGCGTTTACTGGATACAAGCCAGATATTGGACATTTGCGTATTTATGGTAGCAAAGCATACGTTCTGATAAATGAAGGGAAGAGATCAAAGTTTGATCGAAAATCTGAAGAAATGTTACTTGTTGGATATGCATACAAAGCATATCGTCTTTGGAAACCAGGTACTCGACGTGTCGTAATTCGGAGAGATGTCATTATAGTCGAACCTCGAACACAGCAAATGGCAAGAATTGTCATACCAGATGACAAAAATGATTCAAAAACGACAGATACAGACATCAAAACCGAAGATGATTACGCTAATACTGAAGAGGAGGCAAGTGAAAAAGAAGAGGAGGCAAGTGAAGAAGAAGAGGAGGCTAGCAAGAAACCGCGCAAGAAACGTGAAAAGCGTATGGTCGAAGTTAGAGCTGATAGCATTGCAAATCAAACGCGAAGCAAAACACAATGTGTTACATCAATGACTAGCGTACAATTATGCGCAAGTGCGTTTATTGCAAATGTTGAATTACCTACAACACTTGAAGAAGCGAAAACATCTCCAGATGCGAAGAAATGGAAATTGGCAATGGCAGAAGAGCTTGACTCGCTCAAACGTAACAAAACCTGGACGCTCGTCGAAGCACCAAAGGATCGTAAGCCAATTCGTAATAAATGGATCTTTCGTTTGAAAATCAAACCAGACGGAAGTGTTGATCGGTATAAAGCGAGACTTGTCGTAAAAGGGTGCTCGCAGAAACCAGGTATTGATTTCTCAGAGACGTTTTCACCAGTAGCACGATTTGATTCAGTGCGTACGTTACTAGCAGTGGCAGCAGCGAAGGATTTCGAAATAGTCCAACTAGATGTCAAGACCGCATTCTTACATGGCAAACTTACAGAGACGGTTTATATGGAACAACCAGAAGGATTCAACGATGGTATGAATCGTGTGTGTCTTCTAAACAAGAGTCTCTACGGTCTTCGACAAGCGCCACGCCAATGGCATGAAGAGTTTGACGACTTCATGACAGAATTTGGTCTTGAACCGACAGATGCAGATCCGTGCGTATACATTTCAGAGGACGGCGAACTAATGGTCGCATTATATGTTGATGATGGTCTCGTATTTGGCAAATCAAAAAGGAAAATCATCAAGTTATTGAAAGCGATGCAACAACGATTCGAGATAACAAGCTCGGATGCGACATTTTATCTTGGCGTCGAAATTATACGTAATCGAGAAGAGAAAACCATACGGTTGGTACAGACAGCATATGCAAAAGCTATACTCGAGAAGTTTGGAATGACAAATTGTAATCCGATAGCTACTCCGGCAGATGCAGGCACTACATTGAAGACAAACATCAATGAAGATTCCAGAAATGTGCCATATGGACAACTTGTTGGGTCGTTAATGTATTTAGCAGTTGTGACACGACCAGACCTGGCATATATAGTGGCGACTCTCTCAAAATTTCTTCAATCGCCAACAGATGAGCACTGGAACGCTGGCAAGCGTGCCTTGAGGTATCTAGCAGGTACAACGGACTTCGGAATCACGTATGGATGCGACAAGTCGAATGAGCTGATCGCATATTCGGATGCAGATTGGGCGAATTGTGTCGACACGCGAAGAAGTATGAGTGGTGTTGTGCTCTTACTCAATGGTGGACCAGTCACTTGGTTCTCACGCAAACAAGGAGTCGTCGCGACATCAACAACCGATGCGGAATACGTAGCAGTACATGACGCAGGAAAGGAGATTGTATGGGTTAGAAGACTACTAAAGGAGATCGGATGCAATCAAGATAAACCAACTACGTTATTTTGCGACAATGCAGCAGCCGAAAAGCTCATTGCAAATCCAATACTTCATTGCAGAACTAAACACATCGACGTAAAATTCCATTATACCCGTGAGTTGGTCAAGAGCGGAATAATCGAGATCAAGCATGTAAGCAGCAGTGGACAACTCGCAGACATATTTACGAAGCCACAAACGAGGAATCTTTTTGAGGCTAATCGGAAGCTACTTGGAGTATACATAGCGAACATTTCAGCGAGTGGGAGTGTTGAATATGGCGCTCTAGCGCCTTGAAGCGCCTCTATGTTCGC